AGTCTTGTATTTAATGTCTTTCCATTATAAACCGATAAATAAAAAGTTTTCGAAAATTATTACAATATAGTAAAAATGATTCCAATAAATTTAACAATTCGATATAAATAGTTTTTATAAATTACTTTTTATTGATGCCATCAGTATGCAAGGAAATGAATCAAGACGATTGCAGAGCGTGTTCAGGCCTTCGTAAAGTTTCCGTAAATTTTATTATATACATAGGAAGAATAGTTAAAGAATAAATTACACCATACTTTACAATCGTACACTACAACACCGTAGTTTACAATCGGCGATCCCTCTCTTGATCGCAAACGAAACCTCGCATGCAAAAAAGTAGAAGAATTTACTACGTGTTGCATGTCTGCAACGATTAATGATCGGTTCAATTTCGCTAGCAATCGACGTCTCAGGATGAAAGCCCCGTCGTCGAGAGTACGCGCACTCTTATTATTCATTCATAGCGTGATATGACGTTGTCTAATAAATATAATCAGCTATGCACAATCCCGTTAGCTCTCGTCGTACAGAGGAGTACCGTCTCCGCTGAGCGACATACTTCGTGGACTAGAATTTGTATGTGGGGTGCCTCGCGGAGATCTGTACGACGGAGTACGCGTAGACGAAGGTCTGCTCCTTCCGGAGGGCGTTGTTCTGCCGACCGGCTCGTCATAGTTACGTGGAGTTCTTCTAGACTCCTCGTACCTGGGCGTCGATCCGCTGAAAACACATTCAACACATTGATGATAATCGAATGAAGAACATTAACATTTCAAATATCAATAATTTTTAATAGGAAAACGTGATCGTTATTTAATACATATTTATTATTGCACTTACGAGACTCGCGAACCGCTTTTTATACGTGCTGCCCAATCCTCGGCGGCCTTCTTCCAATCCGTCGGGTCGCCGAAAAGAGTGGACAGAGGTGGTGTAGGTCTGTGCAATTGAGCAGACCTGTGATGGCTGGGTGTCATCGAGGGCGGCGGCGGGTGCACGAAGGGCCCTTGATGATGGCTAGGGGTTTGTTGGCCGTATCTGGGAGTAGGCTGGCCATGATGCGGAGTGTGATGAGGCGTCTGGTGCGCGGTCATAAACGGAGTTTGGCCAGACGGCGTATACGGCGTGTTGGGATACGTGTGTACTCCGCCGTAGCCGGTAGCGCTAGCCGCTCCGGGTGTGTGTGGCGGATAGTGATGCGGCGTCTGATTCGCCACTTGCGATAGCGAGTGCAACATGTGATGTGGTAGGTTCTGTGCAACTCGCTGTATTGCTTCTTGATTCATTCCTGAAACAATATCGATCGAAATAATAGCAATTAATACATTTGCAGTCCTTGTGCTCTTACTTGTGCGTTTCATTTCATTTTAGCGAAAAATTGTAGTTGTTAACACAGAATATATATATATGTAGAATGATTTTATCTTGAAATACAATATTTTTTCCTAGTAAAATATATTTTGACCTATACTAAGATTCCAGGAATTACTTTCATATAAAAATTATGATGACTGACAGTTCGCGGTGATGATATAGACAGACTTACCGCTAACTGTTCCTGGCGTAGTAGTGTAAGGTGTCCTAGAAGTCATCGCGCCGCGTGGTGTACTCGGAGTGGATTGTCCAGGGACGGGATCCCTAAAGTGTTTCTTGAACCAGCGTAGTAGATCGCTCACCCTACCGAACATCTGCGCTCGAAATCTGAAGCCCTCGGATGTCACTGTAACGAACTCGTGGCGACAGCGAGTACGGGGCAGATATATACGAGAGTAGGAACTTTCCAGGATAGGTCTATGGGGGGGAAAAAAATTAATGAAATTATTTTTAAATTAAAAGTGAAGAAAATTTTTGGGAAATTGCTGGTGTTACGTGCGTAAACCAGCTACGCGTTTACTTACCTTAACTGCCGATATGATGTAGGGAATTCCACCAGGATTTTCCTTCTTCTGTTCCTTCAGTATATCCTCTGCTTTGTCTTTGATTCCCTCCACGTTGGGCTTGTAGTATTTGAAGTCCAATAATTCGGAGGCGTAAGCGG